TCCCAGTCAAAATCTTTTTAAACTGTTTTTGTACCAGACATTATCTTATATATTCTAGCAGAGAAAACAATTCTGCGTCAAATGGATGTATTTGGTGAAGATTTTAGGCGAATCCTGTGTTTGGTTTCCAGGAAAAACCGATTTTTCAGTAATATATAAATGGCATGGACCTCTGTTATTTTTCCAACAATACGAAAAAAAGACATCATAGTCGTGATCACCACACTTTGCTCTATCGATGTATTGAGAAAACAAAGGCAACTAAATTTTTGATCAGTAGAATAGATGAAATGATCAGTAAAAAAACATGTAAATTATCAGTTCAAAGGTTGAATGATCAATCCTTAGATTACCAGTAAATAATATGAAAATGATAAGTTTATTAAATAGAATAACAGTAATAATATCAACTTCTTCATCTAATGAATCACTTATATACTGAGCAACTTTTTGTGTAACTTCCATCTTTTTTGCTATGTGCTACTAGGATGAAGTTGAAAGAAAAAATATAAGAAAATTTATGTATATCGTTTTAGTTAGCTGTTTATCGAACTAGAGAAAGAAAGAAAGCAAAGAACAAGTGAATCACACTATAGCCTGTTTTTGTTTATTTTACTTACCCTAGTCAACTCTCCCTAGAAGAATCCCCAGGGAGTCCCCTGACAAATCCCCGGGGACTCACGACAGGGAGCCCCTAGGGATTTCGTTCTTTTATGGGGACTCCCTGGGGACTCCCCGGGGAGCTATATGACCAAAATCGATGAAATATCTAATTACTAATAAATTCTTCTAAATTTTTTAAGATTTTAAAAAATTAAAAAGTTTTTTTTTAATTTTAAAAAACTTCACCAATTCTCCCCAGAGAAATCCCCTGGGAGTCTCCCAAATAGAAAGTCCCCGGGGACTCACGACAGGGACTCCCGAGGGATTTCGTTATTTTGCGGGGACTCCCCGGGGAGTCGTCGGGGGAGAGTGGATTAGGGTATCGTTTGATATAGCTGACTGTTAAAATATTTTATTTGTTAATCATAAA